CTAGGCTGTGGAAAGCTTTAGATGGGGAAAAATCCCTTAGGCTTCTTTGTACGAAAAAGGAAGATGAGCTGGTATACCTGTGGTATGAGGAAAATCGAAGTCGGGTATCGACTCGAGCTGAGGAGGGCTCTTGACCATGAGAGCAGAAGCAAGAAATTTGCTCGGTGTAAATCTTGATGGGAAACCCTCGAGGAGATCCATGCTAGAGGGTTTGACCTCTCAGAAGAGGTGAAGCAGGCAAAAGCGAATGCACACAATGTGAGGTCCCTTCTGCTCGATGCCGAGGGTAACGAAAAAGAGGCCGATGGGCCATAGTTCTCGAGGGGGACATAGATTAGGCCTTCCTTTTCTGCGTATAGTGCTTTCGAAGAACATTTGTAAATGGAGCTTGTATTTTTTCGCATACATGTATAAAAGGAAGCCTTTCAGTTTTATTTTTCATGCATTTCTCTTTGCTTTGACTTTAGCCAGATGAACTAGTCTTCGAGTTAAATGGAACCGTCAGATTCATGTTATGTCCATGGGGCCCATTGTGCTTGCCTGTAGGCTCCTATGCGTTTGGTCGGTATGACCTTTTAGTATAAGCTGGCGTTTGAGCTCTTATGCTTTTGCTCTTAGGCATATTTAATCAACTGTTTTGGATTCAGTCTCCAAGTCGGGTATCGACTCGAGCTCATTGAACCCTCAAGTTTTTGAATTTAAGGCTGGCCCTTAAGCTCTTACGCGTTGGGTTGGTACGACCTTTTGTATGGGCTGGTGACAGTGGCTCTTACGCATTGCATTGGTACGACCTCTTATATGGGCTGGCGATAGTGGCTCTTACGCATTGGGTCGGTACGACCTCTTATATGGGCTGGCGACAATGGCTCTTACGCATTGCATTGGTACGACCTCTTATATGGGCTGGCGACAATGGCTCTTACGCATTAGGTCGGTACGCCCTCTTATATAGGCTTTATTTTTCCCTCATTAAGGACTTTTTGAAATTGTGTTTGCCTGACTCTTCGATGATTCGATAAAAAACCTCGATTATGAGTCATTATATGGTGATGATTGAGCACCTCGGGAGGTTTGGCTCGGTGGCTGAGTATCTCAAAACCTTATAGTTTGGAGCTAACATAGTCGAAACGCTTTTGCCTATGTTGAGGGTAGCCTATTTAACCGGTTCTTTTCAAAGTATTTTCGAAGTAATTGAAGGCCTATTATTTTATAGCGACGGTCGGGCGTCCTCGAGTCACGTTAGTTTGGCAGGTACAACCTTTTGACCGTAGTCATTTGTGTTTGGCGAAGCCTTTCAGTCCCCGAGTGAAGTAGTTTCGGCGTCTATATCGAGGGTATGCCTTTTTAGAGATCTTACAAGTTCGACATATAGTCTTAACTTTAAGATCAGGATTTTGCCTTTAGTAAGGTCTTACAAATTTTACATGCCTTTGAGGTCTTACAGTATTGTTTACTTGGTACAAGAATGGTTTATGCCTTTCTTGAGGTCTTACAGATATTATTGTTGCTCACTTAGTACAAGTGTGGTTCATTCCTTGCTTGAGGTCTTACAGATATTGTTGTTGCCCACTTGGTACAAGTGTGGTTCATGCCTTGCTTGAGGTCTTACAGATATTGTTGTTGCCCACTTGGTACAAGTGTGGTTCATGCCTTGCTTGAGGTCTTACAGATATTGTTGTTGTCTTATATAGGTCTTACGAGATCGAGGCTACCCGCATGTGGTCTTATGGCCTCGGGTTTTGATAAGTCGATGGGGTGGGGATTGGCGACAGTCCCCGAGTCATCGAGGGTTTCTTGGCTCGGGAGCCATTACTTGTAAACTTGGTATTACCTCATTGAGGGCTTACGTGTTTGAAGCTCCGACCCGGGGGTCGCATTGTTTTGAGTTGTTGACGCTAATCCCCGAGTGTTCGAGACGTTTCTGATAGAGGAGCCATTTTTGCAGAAATACAGAGCTTCTTTGAAATGCAAAATGCTTTTGGAAAGTATTCTTTGATTACTTGGTACAAGCATACACATTTTTGCTGTTACGGGCTCGGTTGTTCTATGCTGACACGGTTCGTTCGACCGTTTGGCCCAGTACATTATTTTCCTATAGAGACCCCACTTAGTGCATCTTGGCTTCTCCAAGACCCCATTTAGTGCATCTTGGCTTCTCCGAGTAGGTGACCTTCCGGGGGGATGCCCCCAGTATTTAAGGTTGATTGCGAAAGAAGCCATGAATACTTGTAGGGTCTTCCTCAGGTAGCATGTAGATGTTGCCTCGTTAAAAACCTTGCCGGTAAAACCCTTTTTGGGATAAAAACCCGGTCGAAGGAAAATAGTGCAACGTATGCTTTGAAATCTTAAGGTCTTCGAGCTGGATAACGCTTCGGCTGTCTCAGTCGGACACCTGCATAAAGGTTATCATGAAGTGTAAATTAAAAGGGAGATGGTTATACCTTAGTGGTGATGGCGCTTTAAGCCTCAGTAGGCCTTCAGTATTTGCTCTGAGGACATGGTACGGTCCTTTATTTGTTCATTCGGGCATAGTCGAGAACGTGACTCATGGTTGCTATTTCACTGTTTGTTTATCCTTCAGCTCCTTTGATGGTAGAGATATTGGTGTTTTTTGTTGTGCCGGCCAAATTGACTGGTAGGGTGATTTCCCCTTTCGTTGTTTCGCTCGCCGTGTTGAACCCGTTGAGGACTCGTGAGGCGAGCATAATTTGGCCGAGCTACCCAGATCCACAAATACATATTTAATTTGAAATGTATTCACAAGAAACGAAGTTACCAGCACATCGTTATGGGGCTGAGATAGAGCCTCAACTTCGCTTTTCCCTGGTGAGGGATGTTTTTGTTCTCATGACTGCGGGTTCCTGCAGGGCACCGACACCTCAAAAGATCGTATGGATGACATGTTGCAACTCATCTTCTTTGTTCTTTTTGGCCGCCTCTCTTTCCCGAAACTGATTTTTAGCTCGGTCCCTAATGAATTCGTGGAGGTGAACTTTGCTGAGTAATCGGGCCACTTCTTCTGAGAGTTATCGGCAATCCTCGGTCCTGTGACCGTGTGTGCCATGAAATTCACATGCTAAGTTATGGTTCCTCTACAAAAGATCTGACTGTACAGGCCTCGGCCACCTGGCGTCTCTGATCTTACTGATGGCGAACACGATATCTGAAATATTAATATTGAAGTTGTATTCCGACAAGCGGGGTGCCTCCACCGGCCCTGCGTGCCTATCGAACTTGGCTCTACTGACGAGTTCTCGAGGGTTCTGCCCTCGGTCCGTTCTTCGATCATTCCGGGGTAAGTTACGCCTTGAGGCGTTCCTCTTGTCTTCGGTGTACGACTACTACCTTTCTTTGTTTGGCTTTGGTTCCTTCACCAAAAGCCTTCTTGGGTATACCGAGCCCGAGGGGGCTTCTAATTGGTCCTTCTTGACCCTGATTTTTGATTGATATCGGTTGTGAACGTCCGACCAGGTCACGGCGGGGTATTCAACCAGATTCTGTTTCAGCTGCTTCGAAGCCACCGAGTTTCGTCCATTCAGACCTTGAGTGAAGGCCTGCACTGCCCAGTCATTAGAGACTGGTGGTAGTTACATTCTTTCCATTTGAAAGCAAGATATGAACTCTCGCAGCATCTCATTCCCCCCTTGCTTGATCTTGAAGACGTCGGATTTCCTTGTTGCTACTTTGATGGCACCGACATGTGCCTTTATGAAAGAATCTGCCAGCATGGCAAATGAGTCTATAAATTTAGGAGCTAGGTTGTGATACCACATCATGGCCCCTTTTGAGAGTGTTTCCCCGAACTTCTTTAGCAATACAGACTCAATCTCGTCGTCCCTTAGGTTGTTTCCCTTCAATGCACAAGTGTAGGCAGTTACATGCTCGTTAGGGTCCGAGGTTCCATTGTACTTCGAAAGCTCGGGCATTCTGAACTTTTTTGGAATGTGTTTTGGGGCCTCTTCCTGCGGGAACGGCTTTTGCACAAATTTCTTTGAATCTACACCTTTCAGAATCGGGGGTGCGCCCAGAATTCGATTGACCCTGGAATTGTAGGTCTCTACCTTCTTATCGTTGGCTTCTATCTTCTTCTCGCCCGACTCGATCCTCTTTGTGAGGTCGTCGAGCATCTTTACGATGGCGGGGTCGGCTACCGACCCGTTGTTGCTTGATCTCTTTGGTACCTGCTCGGCGGGGGGGACCGTCCCCGGTGCTACGGTGCTGGGAGTTTTCTGGTGACTTTGCAGCTGAGTAATCGCCAACTGTTGTGCCTGTAATATTTCAAAAATAACGTGAAGGCTAACCTCTTGTTCTTCCCTAGTTGGGGTTTTCTGAGATTCTTGTTGGTCTCCTCGGTGCACGCTCCTGTTCATGTGGGAGCTTATATCGATGTGTTGGGCGTCGCGTGAAACCATGTTCACGGGAACTTGTTCCGGTGCGTTCTCAGGGTTTTGTGGTGGTACACCAACAACTGGAACATCCACACCATTTTCTCCATGGTCCTCAAAATTATTGTTTACTGAGTTAGATATTTTGACCTGAAATCAAAGATCTTGGACAAGAAAAAGCGTAAAAGATAGCTTGCATTACGTAGTAAAGCCAGCAAGAAAATAATTACTATTATTTTTAGCCCCACGGTAGGCGCCAAACTGTTTACCATGAAAATGGTAATAACAATTAAATTTGATTATGTATTTCTAAAAATACGTGATCTATTTTTATGCTAGTTGTTAGACAACGGATGTTAAGTAAAGATTAGAAAGCAAGATTATAACTAGAAAATGATACAATAGTCAGACCAAACGGCTGGAGATCGGGGCCTCGGGCTGTCGTATATGGGGCCTCGAGGTCAAGTGGGGTGACCGGCTTGGAGCGATCGAGGGAGGAATAACAATTATGAGAGCTGTGATAAAGGCTCTTTATGATCAATGATAAGTAATAAATGAAGAACAATCAATAAAACACAATAAATATAAGCAATAAATGAGAGTAATGAGAGAATGTTAGAGAGCAGAGAGAATGTTCTTGTGTATTTAATATTGAGCATGAGGTATCTATAAAATGACAAGGATCCCCTTTATATATGAGGGGGAAATCCCAACATAGTACAAATGCATTAATTACAAAGATATGGGGTTGGTACAACCATTTAATGCCTTGATTCGCTTTTGGACTAGTCCACTAGACTTTGTCAGCTCTATTTATGCGCCTTTGGAACTTCACATTGATCCACTGAGACCACTAATTTACATTGCCTTGAGGCCGACCGTCACTTACACTACCTCGAAGTCGATCACTAAGAACCCTCAAAGTCGATCACCGAAGACCCTCGAGATGCCTTGATGATCGTAAAATAGAACCGTCGTTTTCTACCGTATACATAAATGTTATGACTTGTTTAGGACCACAAGTTTAAGATTTTTTTATTTCTTTCTTAAACTCAATAAAAATAGATTCACATCAAATGGAGAGTGACGTAGCCAAATACAACGAATAGTAGTCAGTTGAACATTCTTTATCAAAAAATTATACTTTATAATAAATAAAAATTTATACTGCATATATAAACTAAAAATTACTTTTTATTTATGTATATTAAATCTTGAACACCTTAGAGAAAATTCTGGTTTTGGCGCTGCAAATGGAATGGAGGAAGTAGCTAGTATAGTGTACTACGACACATTTATGCCTATCTATCTACACATAAAATACAGGATTTGGTAGTAACAAATATAAAGACATTGATAGCTTGCCGTGATGATTCAAGGATCACGTTTCAAAGATACTCTTAGATATTTTCCATGGGACCCCCAAATGATTTCTTTGTTCAAATTATTGGTATCTGCAACATACTGCTTCGATGAATCTGTATTTGCGTCATAAAAGAAGCACTATGAGATTTTTAGCGGTTCACTAAAGAAAGTTTTATTCTTATGGCTCGAACTTAAGTATTAATTAAAGGTGAATATACTTTTACCATTTCAACTTAACTTTAGCGGTAGTTTCGGTGCTAGTATAGTGTATGGTAGGGTGAACTCCTATGCTCCTAACCTCTGCTGTTGGAAGTAAGCAATTAATGTATGTTTTTCGAGATTAATATCCAAATCATGTTTTGAAAAGATGAAGCACTTGTTCTTAGTTTTATCATGTTAATCCCAACTGCAGCTTCGTTGGGCTATCTGCTCGGCTAAAGTTTATATGTTTTCTCATGTGTATTAATTAAACAGAAACCCTGAGATGCATTAAGATAGATCGGATCCCTTCATCTTTATAGTCAGAGGTCTTGAACTTAAGCCAACTAAAAAAAATCTTGGTAGGAAATATATTTTTTCTATTTTAATGGGTCTTAAACAAAGCTAATCTATCGGGCTGGTAGGTTTCACAAACAAGATAATTATAAATTTTTAAAAATTGAAGTCTTTCTTCCACTTCTTTTGCAAAAGGTGGATTTACACATGTAATACCGTAATAAGTTTATGCAAATGAAAATGATAATGTCGAAATTATATGATGCACTTTCTTTTTTCTCTAAATCCATGGAAAATAAGCTTACGGAACTGAGGAAAATATCCGCAACACGATAAGCTCTTCCCTTTTCTCTAAATCCATGGAAAGAAAAATGCCTATTTAATGTATTGCATGTAGCGGCTAAGTCAGGATTTCAAGTTTATGAGTTCATGAGTCTAATCTTTTTATGTTATTGGGTTTTAAATTAATAACTTGTATCAATTCTATCAAATTTTAAGATAAATACATAGTTTGAATCAAAGTTATTAGACTCAACAGAATTCGTAATCGGCACTTTGGCTTCGCCCCTAATTGCGTGCCCAGAAAGACACAACTACACGCATCTTATGCCCCATGTATGTGAGTCGTTGCTCTAACTTACACTAGTAAATTCAAACATCAATTTGATTAGATCATGCAAGTTACAAATTAAATAACCCATGTGGCAATTTTTCTGAAATCAAATAAGGATTGGGTCATTGAGGAATCATTTACATGATAGTTCTCTTATTAGATCTTTTGACCGAACGGAAGGGGTATTTTACCAAAAAAAGTGCTAAACCTTTTCTTGAAACAAATTAATGAGAAAATAGAGGGTGAACCCTTACTAGTTAAATATAATAACCGTTAGATCTAACGTTTAGATGTATTAATGATGTAGGGCTGAATCAGAAAATGTTGTATACCAACTACAAATACTCAATGATTGTCAATGAATGTAGTAATAAAAGTATGTTATAAATGTGGATAATGGCAATAAAGGTAATAATGAGCAATTTATCACCCAAATGTCGGATGACTTGGATGACACTCCTTCCTGACAACAACATGGAATAATAGAAAATGAAGATGGACAAGGAATCTTTGGATCTTGTGAATAAAAAGCGTATATCGAACAATGTAATCAGTGGACAAGATAAACTTTTGTATATTCTTTGTAGTCAACCCTTTACAATGAGTTCTTATCTCAAAAGTGAAGAAGATCTTTTTTGTTCTTTATCTCTTCCTATTTATAGGGGATATTTCTAAGAAACCGTAAAAAGTACAACTAAAAGAATATCCAATGGAATATTCCTTCTTTCTATTCTAAACTTATTCTACCGTTGCTTTAGTAAATTCTCTACTTGACCTCGGCACTAATCCTTATTAAGAAGACTCCTCGCCATTGCGTTGTGGTCGGTTTAATCCTCGACCAGGTCCATTTATAGTTATTAAGTCCAGTCCAAATTTCGACCAATACAGTTAGTCCCTCCGCTTGTTGAGGTTGTGATCTTGGACGTCCTCAATGAGCGGATTCTATCTGCAACCGTTCAGAGGAAATTTGGTCGTGATAATTGAGTCGAATCAGCTGAGGTCGAATTAGCGGCATTGTCGGAGGGGCTACGGTTAGTGCGGCTGACGTAGGATGATGTCATGGCCATGCGCGTCATCATTACATGTCTTCCCGATGCAGTGTCTGTGTTTCTGACGCTTTGATTTTGGTGCCACTGATGGCTTTTTGCCTCGATTATGGTGTCACTCAACCCTATAAGTTGAGAAGAGGGGATTCATTTTCGAAACTTTCAGCATTTCCCATTTTGTATGCATATTGTTCTTCTTTGATCTTCTTCTATGATCCCCACTTCCGATTTCTTGTAGCTTCTTCAATTCCAGTCCCTGGTTTTTTTCCCGGTTAATATCTTCTTTCTCTAATTTTGTTGTACACTCTTTACTACAGAAATATATCAAACTCCTCTCATATTTACGATAGAGTCTCTGATGCCACTCCTTTATCGGTTTCCATTCCTCCCGGCAGTGAGGAATCCATGGTTGAGGAGGAAGAAAACTTCCCCGCCGTGAAGAAGGTGGTTCCTACGAATCCTTCGGTCAAAAATGACTTCCTAATGGAACCTGCTCCCGCTCCTGCTCAGGAGCTCTCTAAGACGGGGCTGCGTCAAATAGCCGACCTCCGGTCCAAATATCATATTCCTTCTCACGTCGAAATTGTTCCGGCGGGAGGCCACATAGTACAAGTTCATCGGCCCGGATATTGCACTTTCTACATTTATCCGTTCTTAGTCGGTTAGTATCTTCCTTTACCCTCATTAGCAGAGGAGTTTTGCCGCTTTTACAATGTCTGCTCGGTGCAGCTCTCCCCTTATTTGTATAAAGTTTTTCTGATGCTGGCGAAGTACACAGAGTTGGCCGGATGTGAGGCCAATATCCACCATCTGCTGCATCTATTCTCCCTCAGTTTTTATGGAGGAACATTGATACATCTATGACATCGTGGGACCAAAGGGTTGTTGGCCAGGATGGATGATAAGGTGAACCTGCGGTTCTGGCATAAATACTTCTTCATCAAGACCAATCATCTGGTGGTGAATCCGACCGTGTTCCCCGAGTAATGGAACTATAATTGTAAGTATCTTGCAATTTGTTCATTATTCTCTTTTCTTCCTCTTCTTTCATTTCCGACCCACTCACTACTTTCCTATTTTCAGCTGACCTTCTCTCGTCTATGATATTGAAGGTTAGGTGATTCGCGTGTTACCTCACACCGTGGGAATTCACGATTGGGTGTCCTTCCACAAGCGCTTTGGACCCAAGACTTCGTCCAGTAAGTGTTATTTCTACCTTCCAACTTATTGTCGCTCACTATCACCTTTTGATGCGCCCTTCCTTTGGTGCTAGATCGACGAGCTTCTAAAAAGGCAAAGGCACTAGTGCCTGCATTCCGACAGGCAGTCACGTTGGCTGGAATGTGGTTTGTACTGGCTGAGTTTGCACGGGGGNAGCCTATCTTTCATCTTGTAGATAAGTCATCATACGGTGATGAGGCTTCGCCGAGGAAACGATGAAGGGTGGAGACCTGGAAGGCCATTGTCGTTGATGTTGAGCAAGACTGATTGCTTTGGAAGCGGAATCAATGCTTACACTAGATGTCGAGGCCATTTCTACATCGGGTGCCGCTATGGAGAAGAGGTCCTCTAAGGTTGAAGGAGTTCGTGGTAGCGGAGAGCTTATGCGGGCTACTGAAGGCAGCTCATGTCCCAGCGGGGGTAATGACTTTGGCTCACATATCGACCCTGGAGAAGTACAGACCTTCATGGAGAGGGCTACTCGCGCGGAGATAAGGACGGAGGGTCCTAATCAGCATATAGTCATTCCCGTAGATTATGACCTTCTGTCCAACTCAGAATGGGCGTTGCTGGCCTTCACTCCCTTGTGAGTAAGTTTGCTTTTCCCTTGTTAGGTTAAGTTCATTTCGTATGTGTAACTTGTTTCCACTTACCTCTTTTTTTGCATGTCAGACCCTTATCATGAGGATCGAGCGGGATCGGCGGGAAGAGCGGAGGACGGCCATTTTCAAGAAAAAGACGTCCAAGTAAAGAGAGTACCATTCTAAGCACCGAGCGCTCGTCGACTTACTTAGCTAGGATAGAGAGTTATAGTCGCTCCGCGATGGGATCCAGTAGAAAGATGAGGAGCTGAAGAAGAAGGAAGAGGACTGAAGGAGAAGGATGAGGAGCTTTTGAGGGCCATCAGCAAATTCAGCGTGCTTGAGGGAGCAGTAAAAGCTAAAGAGGACGATCTCGAGATGAACAAAGGAGTAATGGCTGAGAATGTAGATCTCTAGGCACATGTGGCATTCCTAAAGGTTGAGTTTGAACAAAGAGAGGCCAGGGTCATTGACTTGAGGGCGGAATTGAGGAATAGGGTCACAGAGCTGAATCTGGCTGAAAGGACCAGGATGGCCGCCGTGGCGGAGGCAACAACTTTAGAGGGTACCCTACGTTTGGTAGGTCTAAGCGGTCTAATGAGGCGGAGATGTCGGCGCTCAAGGTGGCGAGGTTGGATGAGCAGGTCGAGAGTTTGGAGGTAGAGCTATCTGGGCTGAATGAACATGTCGTCACCTTAAAGGCCAAGAAGGAGCAACAACAGGCCCATCCATCTACTTCTCATACTTTTGCCGATCCTATTGTATCACGGGAGTTGTATGAGATGTGGGTTCACGCTGAGGCTAAACTTGATGTGTACAAGTCTTTGAAGGTTGTTGGGAAGGTTTCCGAGGCGGAGCTTGAGGGTGTATGTGTCAAGGCACGTGCAGCTAGTGAAGCTTGTGGTTACGACCCTAATATACACACACCGAGGATGATGATGACGATGCCGTGGCTTGGCTTGCCTCTGATCCTTGGTATGATGATGAGTATGCTGGTGGGGATGATGTAGCGTGAAGCTTTCGTACTTAGTTTTTTTTTTCTTTGCTATATTTGTGAGGGCGTCCTTAAGCCCTTTGTAAAATGTACTGTAATCCGAAAATTGAAATGGAACAATTGCCTTTTTTCTATGTATTTTTGGATTTTCGTTCTCTTTTTC